ATGAAGAATATTAAAAACATTATGAGTCAGCTGTCTTCGGCAGTCCTTAAGGTACCAGCACAATAACACACTCAGCAAAATATCGTCTAATTATCGTTATCGATAAAATCCCATAAATATCGAGATATAATTTTTTGTCAATATCGCACACCCGTAGTCTGAATATCTATATCTGTCTGTCTGTCTGAATATCTATCTATCTATCTATCTATCTGTCTGTCTGAATATCTATCTATGTGTCTGTCTGTATATCTGTCTATCTATCTATCTATCTGTATGTCTGTCTGTATGTCCATCTGTCTGTCTGTCTGTCTGTCTATCTATCTATATATCTGTCTGTCTGTCTGTCTGTCTGAACATCTATCTATCTTATCTATCTGTCTGTATATCTATCTATCTATCTGTCTATCTGTCTGTATATCTATCTATCTGTCTATCTGAATATCTATCTATCTGTCTGTCTGTCTGTCTGAACATCTATCTATCTGTCTGTCTGAATATCTATCTTTTCTCTCTGTCTGAATATCTATATCTGTCTGTCTGTCTGTATATCTATCTATCTATCTATCTGTCTGTCTGAATATCTATCTAGCTATCTGTCTGTATATCTATCTGTATGTCTATCTATCTGTCTGTCTGAATATCTACAGGTGCATCTCAATTATCTATCTATCTGTCTGTATATCTATCTGTCTGTATATCTATCTCTCTGTCTGTATATCTATCTATATGTCTATCTATCTATCTGTCTGTATATCTATCTATCTATCTGTCTGTATATCTATCTATCTGTCTGTATATCTATCTATATCTGTCTGTATATCTATCTATCTATCTGTCTGTATATCTATATCTGTCTGTCTGTCTGAATATCTATCTATCTATCTGTCTGTCTGTCTGTCTGTCTGTCTATTTAAAACATCTTAAAGTTAGATATTGTGAACTAGTTAACCTTCTGTATTAGTTGTAAAATGCAGATGTGTTGATGTTGATGAATGTGATTTTGTTTCAGGAAGAAAAAAGCAGAAGGTGGCTCAGGAGAAAGCTGGATTATCAAAGGTAATTTCACACACATTTATTGTTACAGATGTTATTTTTTTTTCTTGGTATAGTGAATTCTGCTTGAGAACTAGCCATATGAAATGTTCCCTAATGGTTTTCATCTTTTCTATCTCTGTGTTTGTTCAGTTACCAGACCTGAAAGACGCCGAAGCCGTTCAGAAGTTCTTCCTGGAGGAGATTCAGCTCGGAGAAGAGCTGCTGGCGCAGGGTGAGAAATCATCTCTGTCTCACACCATAGACATTCCCCCCCACTAGATGGAAGTAGTGAGACATTTCATATTTGACAATGGTTAAACAATAGAAATATTAAACAACTTACAGTATTATCCAGCGATGCAAACTACTCGACTTTTTTCCCCCTCAAATTTCGCCTTTTGAATGAAAAACATGGTATAATTTATGTGATTCGTGTAATTCAACAGAATGTGACGTGACAAGAAATGTTTAGCATTTTTGACATATCAAGAATACAGATAAGAGTGAACGTGTGCACATTATAAAATATTATTTGCTAATAATTAAAAAAAATGTAATAATAAAAAATACTTCCCAGTTAGACACAGAATTAGACATACAGTGTCCTTCACCATTACATTTTTTTTTAAATAAAAATGTTCATTTCTGTATTTTCTGTTTTCATTTTAATTTTAAAGTTTTAGTTTTTTTAATCTTTTTTTTTTATATATATATATATTTTTTTTTTATAGTTTTTTTAGTTGTATTTTTAAATTTTTTTTTGGTACATCAAGTTAAACACTGTTTGAGCAGCAAGATTGTGTTCAGTTTTTGTTGCATTACAGCACTGATTCTGTTAACCCTCGTCCTCTCTCTGTCTGTCAGGTGACTATGAGAAAGGCGTGGATCATCTGACGAATGCGATCGCTGTGTGTGGTCAGCCGCAGCAGCTCCTGCAGGTCCTGCAGCAAACGCTTCCTCCTCCAGTCTTCCAGATGCTCCTCACCAAACTGCCCACCATCAGCCAGGTGACACACGTTTGTGTAAAAAGACTAATTACTTTCACCCCAAATACTAATTAGTTGTATTTATAGTGTGTAATTAGCATTTCTAACATTTGCCACTATCCTAGGTTTTGCCCATTTGTCAGTAAGAATTTTTTACTCATTTAAAACACAAAATTTAATATGCTCCTTTATTCTTTTATATATTTTAATATGTACACGTCAGAATAAGCATGTTGTTTGAATTTAAAAAAAAAAAAGTAACTAATTACGTTACTTAGTTGCTTTTTATGGAATGCAATGCATTGTTACTTTTGAGTGACTTTTTAAATCTGGGCAGGGCTTGTTTGTTTGTTTTTAATGTAAAAAAAGTTATTCTTTTATAATGTAAAAGCCCTTTTCACAACAAAAGTGAACTGTACAGTAGAGGGCGCAGCTCAAACTAATCACATGAAGAATATGATGCAGGAGTACTTTTTAAATCTGGGCAGGGCTTGCTTGTTAGTTTTTAATATAAAAAAGTTATTCTTTTAGGAATGTAAAAGCCCTTTCACACCAAAAGTGAAATGAATGTGCCTCAGGCTGAAGGAAATGTAAATTCACGTCTGTACAGTAGAGGGCGCAGCTCAAACTAATCACATGAAGAATATGATGCAGGAGAAGAAAGTTCAACACTATTCAACAGTAGCAAAGACACTGGTTAATAAAATGGGATTAAATACATAAATGATATTTGTCTTATTTAACACATTTAATTATGGCAGGTTTGTATAATATTCTGAGTAGTGCTGGGCGGTATGACCAAAAATTTATATCACGGTATTTTTCAAAATTATACCGGTTTCACGGTA